AAAATAAAAAAGATATCAGCACCAACTTTTGAAAAACGTGGTGTATTAGCACCATCACATTACTCTCGTAGTCCTGAATGAACACAGATGCTTGCAGTTTGAATGCTTTATTTTCTGTATGTATGCATACTGCAGTTAAGTAGCAAGAACTAAAGGCAAACTAGAAAGGACTACAAAATACAACACATGGACCAATACATTTACAAAACATTCAAAATGTTACAAAATGGGCTGTATTGGTCCTTCTATTGTTGTTCTTCAATTTTGGATCTTTGTACAAATCATCAAGATACGATGTCGCCATCACTTTGCACAATTTACAAGTGCCAGGGAGAGACTTCCAGAGCCAGTTTCAAATGGACAAACCATCAGCAAACTGTCTCCACCGACACACCAGGAGTAGACCCCCACCCCATCTGGGAGACTAAACTTCATCTTCCTGTCCCACTCTGGGATAAAAAGGAATCAAATGAAAGTAGCAGGCAGCTTTTTTTCTTCAATCATCTACCGTTCAGCCTCTGAAAGCAAAAAAAAAGTCAGAAAAAAAGGATCTGTGTGGGAGGGAAGCAAACCAAGGACTTTGGTAGTGAGTGAAAATATGTTTTGATGTCTTTACATGTCAGGATACATTTTATTTGACATGTGCAATGCTCTCCACGTATCTACTCTCCCGTTCTCCCTTTTTTCCAATATTTACATCAAAGCATCAAAAAAGGATATTAAACAGCATGTCCCAATCCAATCTCTCCATCTCAATTCAGCCCCAAAGGGTTAAACAAAAATCTAACTCTCTAGATCCATGAGCAGTAGTCATTTCATCCACATTTCAAATGACTGTGGTTGCCAGTTAATCCAGTGCCAACAGTAAAGAGAGAGGTGTGTGTGTGGTGGGGGAGTGGGTCAAGGCCGCGGCATCTCTCCCTAGGGCTACGAGCTGGCTGGTACACAGGCTAGCTGGCACCGGTGCCCTCCATCACCTGCTGGGCCTGTTTCTGCCCCATGCAGCACTGGGCTACTGACTGGAACAGCCTGAGGAGAGAGGGGGGAGGTAAGAACATTAACGTTTGTTAAAGAGCAGCAGAACTGGTCCAAGGTATGGCTGGCATTACTTTATCTCCTATTGTCATCTTCAAAATTATACCTAACACAGCAACAATGAATCCCATCTGCTATCAAGTATTGTCAGGTATCAAAGTGTTGTATACAAACATGACAGAACAATGAGTCAAACGGAGAACCTACTTTTCAATCTCAGGGGCACAGTGCACAAAGTCGTGGCTCCAGAACTTGAAGGCAGGATTCTTGATCAGCTCAATGAAGGTGATGAGGAGACCCCATGGGTGGGGCCTGTTCACAATCAGCCTCTCCAACAGAACCCTGGAGGACAAGTACAAAGCTATAAGTAACAGCACTTGTAGTTATAATTTCCATTGGCAGAGGTTTGATGTATTCCTTCTGCTGAATTCATAAAATCGCTCAGATCTCAATTCAGACTGTCTCACCTGGTGATCTGCTCCTGGATGGCCTCTGTGTTGGCCTCAGCAAACAGATACAGCATGGTGCAGCTGAAGTAGTGAGTGTGGCTGTTGGGGTAGCGCAGCTGATTGGCAATCGCGTTCAAGAACAGGTATCGCCCTGAAAAGACATGACCGCAGAAAGCTGATCAGAGTGCTCTGCTTTTGTTAAGCACAGATATCTGATAACTACAAAAACATAAAAAAGGTTTGTCAGCGTTTATTTGGCTCTTGAGACTGCAACTTCAATAAGACAAATAAAATGTTAAATGCACACGCAACCCATACAGCATGTGTTTATAAGTAGCGTATGATGCAAAAAGCTTTACATTTTGTAGCACTTGCACTAAGCTGCCACCTTACCCTCAGTGTCCAGGTCCACAGCCAGGTTCTGGAAGATGTCCATATGTGCAGAGTGGGTGATAGTGCTCATAGAGGGGGTGCTGCCCTTGTTGTGGATGTGAGCGATTGCCTGTGTGCCTACATACAACACTAGAGCATTGATCAGCTGGATGTTGTAGCGGTTTCCTGGCTCGTTGGACACCTGGGAGACAGAGCAGGTGACAAATTAACACTAAACTGTATCCTCATTTGTTGAAGTGTGACACTAATAATTTAAAATAGGTCGACACTGCTCCTACCTGCAGGTTGCTGCGAAGCTCAGACAAGAAAGTGACTGGTGAACGAGTCTTCAGATATGAGTCCAGATCCTTCTTGAACTGGGAAGGCATTACGCCTGTGAAGTTGGTGAGAATACGGGGCGCGATGTTGATCTCGCTCAGCATGTCCACCTGTTGACAAAACACAGATTTGAGATAATTTCTAACAAGGCTGAAGAAACCCTGCTTTTCTAGACGGTCAAAGCAAAATGGTGAGGGTGTCCATACCAAACTTAGAGACTCTACAGATCTAAGCCACACTGTAAAACCTCTGTGAATGTAAAATCAACAGCTTATCTCAAAGTCTGTGCACATGTGTGTCTGTCTACCTTGAGATTGGGTGTGAAAGGGTCAGGGAGCCTCATGTTGCGTGGAAAGGCACTGAGGATGAGGTTGCGGAGCTGGATGCAGTTGGGTGGGATAACATCGCAGAAACCATAATGGTAGTCACACAGGAACTCTGGGAAGTCATGCAGCAGGACCAGGAGCACTCGCAGTGTGCCCTAAAACAGCCAAAAATAACACACGACATGGAGCAAAGAGGTTAGTGTTAGGTTTTTTTATCCAAACAGTCAACAGGAAAAATTGCCACATTAAAACAAGTAATATCATGCTAACAAGACTAAGTCTATAGACAACACAGTCAACCCCATGAGGCTGTAATACTCATTACCAAAATAAAAACTGACACAATCAGCTATGATACAAAGTGTCATGATAATGGGACTGTTCCATCAGCGGAACAAAAAAGAAAGTATCATAGTGTATTCTTCGGATTTCTGAAGTCTCAATCAAACATCAAAATAGACAGAAACGTATTGTCAAACGTGGCTGATATAGACAGCTGATATTTCTGCAAGTACATTAAGAAAAAATGAGAAAGCACCTTGTAGAGGATTTGCATAGGTTTGTTGAGCTCTACATTCCTCAGGAATGGGGCCAGGTACTTGAATAGATCAATCAGCAGCTGTGCATACATGGGCCAACCCTTCAAGAAAACATCAGTGTGTTAGACCAACATTCAAAAACCACAAATATGGGGAAAGCAATAACAGTTATTGAGCCTATATGTAAGGGTTTTTAAGTATGTGCAGATTAAATAGTCTTGTTTTATTCTTCCATACCTTCTGCTGGGGTGTGTGTGCTAACATCCTGGCAATGAAGATGCGATGGGAGATGAGTTCCAGCCAGGCGTACACAAAGCCTGGTGCTTTGGTAGGTCTCAGGATGTGGAAGGTATTGCTGTGTATAAAACAGTAATGGTGAGTCCAAACCAAAATGCAACAATCAGAAACATTTAAAACATCTTTATTTTGAGCACAACATCAGCACAAGCTTTCTCTATTCCACAAATTACGCAGGGTCCCTGGTAGGCCGAGACACTTAAGTTATGACTGATCCATGTGGATGTCTCACCAGAAAGCAGTGAGTGTCTGGAAGTTGATGGTCTCCAGGACATGTTCTGGAGCGTTGAGCTCCAACAGCAGCATGATGAAAATGCGGTGGTATGGTAGCTGCTGGAATTCTGTCTGACGGACATCGTGGTCCTGGATTAGCACCCCAACTACAATACCGAGCACCTATAAGAACAATGTAGAGCACAGTCAGAATCAAGTAAACCAGACAGTGCTGTGGCCAGTGCGATTTTAAAATCAAAAGGAAAACTATGATCAGGCTTTCAAATCAACAACAAATGACATCACTAGAAAATGTTTCTTTACCACAACCAAAAACTAATTTCCTATAATGTGCTGTTATATATATTTTACACGGTTCTGTCACAGGTGATGAATCATTTGTTTCTGTACCTTGTTTAGGAGGTTGATTTTTGTCACCGTGTTGGTGGCCTCTCCAGAGTGTTTAACCAGCAGGGCTATGAGCCTCACAAAGGCATCCAGGTTGTGGTAACACTTGGCTCTGATGATGGCTGCACTGGCTGCTGGGTTGTGCTGCTGCTCAGCCTGTGCCCGATAGCTTATCTCCACACACATTTCTGTGCACAGCCGGAAGAACCTTGTGATCAGGTCATCTGTCTTCAGGATGCCCTGCTGGTGCATCTGGAGGAAAAAGAAAAGGAGCCGTAAGATAAAAATGAGGAACAAGGATCAGGGCCACTTTGGTCATTTGTAGGGCTGGGTTGAAATAATGGATTCATCTGTTTCACATCAATCTTCATTTGAATGACCCAATATTCATTCAGAAAGTCCAAGATCAATCTTTTAATATATGCTTTTTCCCATGGATGTGTGAAGCTTTAACCCTGTTAATCTGTTAATCTCGCCCGATACTTTATCAATAGACCTGTTTAGCAACATGTAAACATGTAGGAAAGTGATATTTCAATCTGCTCTGTTCGCAGTCTCTCATCCACTGCCGCTCATAAAATGTTATAAACAAGCACAGAGCACTTTCCAGCTGATAGCA